TTTCTCGGGAATCCAAACCCGAGTTACCCCGGACCCGAGTTATCCCGGATAACTCGGGCGTCCAGAGCCCCGACTCATCAGGGGTAACTCGGGTCAGGGCTAACTCGGGTTCCTTTCTCGGGAATCCAAACCCGAGTTACCCCGGACCCGAGTTACCCCGGATAACTCGGGCGTCCAGAGCCCCGAATCATCAGGGGTAACTCGGGTCAGGGCTAACTCGGGTTCCTTTTCCGGGAATCCAAACCCGAGTTACCCCGGACCCGAGTTACCCCGGATAACTCGGGCGTCCAGAGCCCCGAATCATCAGGGATAACTCGGGTCAGGGCTAACTCGGGTTCCTTTTCCGGGAATCCAAACCCGAGTTACCCCGGACCCGAGTTACCCCGGATAACTCGGGCGCCCAAGCATGTCGTCTCGGCGAGGACCGTCGAGGAGCATCCTGGATCATCTTGCGAACATATTCGCGCGAGCGACGCAACAAAAGAGTCGTCTGCGCCGACATTGGCGCGTAAGCTGCCCGCGTAAGGTTGCGCGTAAGCGCGCTCGTCGCCATTGTGGCCAGCCGCGCTGGCGGCCCGCGTAACTCACCGCGTAAGGTCGCTATGGCATCTCGCGTAAGACTCTTTTGTTTCGTTGCTCACGTGCGAAAGCGAACAATTCACAGGGAATGGACGTTCGAGCGATGGCAAGGGAGGGGTTCGGCGGCTTTTGGATGGAGGCTTCGGAGGTTACCTGATTCAGGGGCAACGTTAGGGGGGGATTGGCTCAGGGAGGAATACATCGAGCCCCAACCGCCCACTGATCGCCGATAGGTGTCCGATAGCGCTTGGGCCGGTTTGTTGGCTTCCTGGCCAGACTTGGAGGAGTCGTGCTGCCATCCTTGGCTCTCTTAGGGCCATTTCGGAGGCCATCTTGGGCCCACTTGCCGTCATGGAGGCGATTTCGGCAAATGGGAACCTTTCTCCCAGGCGTTCCAGGTGGCCGGCGGGTTGGGCCGAAGCACCAGTGGGCGTTCTCAAATAATCAAAGCCACCAGACCTTTAGCACGCCGTGCACCCTTGTGGCAAGCCGCAGGGGCAGCGGATCGAATGGTCTTCGGTACATCCCGCTACCGTTCCTGGGATGTGTTTCAGAGGCCTCTTGTATGCGGGATGCCTCTCGGGGGGCTCGTGGAGGGTTCTTGGGGGCTTCTCGGGGGCGTCTTGGGGGCATCGTGGGGCGTCTTGGGGGCCTCTTGGGGCGTCTTGGGGGAGCACCAGGAGCCTCTGGGGGGCACTTGGGGCCATCTTGGGGCGGAAGGCTCGAACTGTCCGTTTGTGTTTCCCTCTTGGGCCCCTCTTAGGGCTCTCTTGGGTGCCTCTTGGGCCGTCTTGGGGGCCTCTTGGGCCGTCTAGGGGCCCTCTGGGGGTGTCTTGGGGCCCTCCTGGGGGCCTCCTGGGCAGTCATGGGGCGCTATTGGGAGCTTTGGGCCGCCTTGGAGCGTTAACAGCTAAAAAAGGCGAGGAGGCTAACATGCTTCAAAAACCAGGGGGGAGTCAATGTTGGCTTCTTAAGGCCCTCTTTCAGGCGATCGCAAACATGGATCAAGGGGGCGTGGATTAGCGACGGGCCCCGTATTCATGGGGAACCGCGGATTTCCGCCGCCGAGCGAGGCGGCACTGGCCGCATTTTGGGGAGGGCACCTCCCCCGATCCATGGATTTGGCAACCGCGCACCAAATCCATGGATCGTTAATCCATGTTTGCGCGCCTCCGACCCTTGGGGATTCTCTCGGCCCCCCCTGGAGCTTCTTGGGGGCCTCTTTGGCAGTCTTCAAGCCATCTTGAGGATCTGGGGGCGACCTTGAGGCGACTCTAGGGTCTCTTGGGCCGTCCTCGCTGCCTCCTCGATCCCTCGGGGCCCGTCTTGGTACATGGAAGGGAGATCAAAGGGGCAAAGGTGAGCATAGCGAGCGTCTTGCCCACGTCCGCCGCTGTCTGTTTCAAGACAGCGCTGTCCTATATGACTACCTCGCGTCAGAGAGGTACTATCGCACCGGAGTCACGGATAAAGGAGACGTCCGCATCTTTCGATGGTGCATCCTCTCATCTCATATCTTTTCTCGCCTACCGTTTTGCTTGTTCAGTATGGGACAAGTTATGGGATACCGTGATGCGTCTACGACGTCGTCCTCAGACGCAGAGTCTCGGCTCACACCCTCTTGACCCTGGCTTTTCACTTTGCGACCCTCCTGTCCTCCAGAAGATGCAGGAGACGCACCCCGAGAGCTCATTGAAATTCCCAGGAGCGTCCAGGAGTGCCTGGGAAATCGGATGTCTGGGCCCTCAAGATCCAGCTGCAGCAGCAGTAGCAGCAGCAGCTGTGAGCCTTGGGGCACTCCATTTCGTGCCAAGGACACGGAGACGGAAGTTCCACGACCACAGGGGGGGGGGGGGGGCGATCCGATTCGCGAGGCTTTCGCGAGGCTCACAGGCGTACCCATCCAGCGGGGGGGGCTCGACCCCATTTGCATTGGGGGGAACGGGAGGCGGCCGTGGATCATATATATATATATATATGTACACACAGCGGCAGCCACCGCCGTCATTACCCCATGCGAGTTTCAAAGTGGTCGTCCTGTAGTTATTGTTGGGTGTCGCCCATGTGCTTAGTCGGAGATGTAGGAGGTGTGTTCTGGTTGGTATACCGCATGGTTAGACCACTTGTGGGATATACGGGGTCATTTCGCACGCGGCCATTGCAAACCGAACGTTGCGCCCATCCCCTGAGCCCTACCATCGCCCAAGTCGTATTCTTGAGTAAAATATTCAGTTGCCTGCGGCAAGTCCCGCTACCGGGATCGCCCAGTATTTTGGGTGGTGGTTGTTCGACGGGGCACGGAAGGCCGCCACGTGTGACACTTCGTGTTCCCAAGTTCGGGGTGTCCCTGATGATAGTGATGAGAATGATGATGACGAGGACGAGGGCGAGGAGGAGGAGGAATAGAAAGGGGATAGGAGCAGGAGGCAGTCACGTTTGATATCATTCGCTCGCACGTCTTGAATCGTTCTCATGGTGCTCACTTATTGTGCCGCCTTGGGGCTGTTTTTGGTTCCGTTGGGCAATCTAGGAAGTCCCGTGACATTCTTGGGCCGTTTTGGAAGCCTCTTGGGCCATCAGGGGGTCATATCGAGCCGTCTGGGAACCCTCTTGCGAGTCTCGTGGGCCGCTTCGGGGCCATCTAGCAGGCGTTTTGGGCGGAGGAGGGAAGAGGAGGAAGAGACGGACAAAGAGGAGGAGGAGGGAGGAGGAGGAGGAGGAGGAAAGACCAGTGCAAACCCAGGATCTACATTGGAATGCACACTCCCTCCAAGTTCCCTCTTCATGGGCCCCTGCAAGGGTTCAGTTCCACTGAAGGAATTGCCCCGTTGGGGGACAACCGTGCGAAAATCCTGAAGCGTGCCAAAACACCACCCTCAGGACTTCAACGCCACGAGTTAACATGGCCGTTACATTTTGCCGATCCTGAAGCGTGTCAGAAACCAGTACATGGGACTTCTTCAACACCGCGAATGAGCGAAACGGTTGTTCCTTGACAATCCAACATATTTCCGAAACACCATTTCTGGTACGTGAACAATGAGGACCAGCGAAACTCTTGAAGTATTTTCAAGCGAGCGCGCGCGGCGCAAAGGTGAGAGGCACATGTGGAAACGAAACCGCCCTCAATCCGTGACGTCTTGCAAATGTTTAAAGCGAATGTGCGCAGCGCTAAGGCGAGAGCCACATTTTGAAAACGACCTGCCTTCAATCCGCGAATTTAATGTTTCAACGAATGTGCGTGGCGCTAGTGCGAGAGCCACAGTTTGAGACCTACCTGCCCTCAATCCGTGAAGTGTTCGCGAATGTTTTTATAAAATGAAAGTGCGTGTCGTTGATGCGAGAGCCACATGTTGAAACCCCCGCCCTCAATCCGTGAAACCCTTGCAAGCTTCAAAAACGAATGTACGCGGCATTAGGCGAAAGCCACATTTTGAAAACCACTTACCCTCCATCTTTGAAATTGTTATCCGTATTTCTTTTTGCTTCAGGCTCATACATGGTAAGGAAGTCTCAGGCGACACGCCCGGCCCGCCCGGTTGGCGTCGGGGTGCGACAGGGAGGAGTTATGTATAAGGAAAATGGATGGTGGAAGAGGAGGGAAAGAGGAGGAGGAGCAGAAGGAGGAGGGAAGAGAACGAGGAGGAAACGAGGAGGAGGAGAAAGAGGAGGGGAAAGAGGAGGAGGAAGGAAAACGAGGAGGAGGGTTAGCGCGCGGAGCGTGGCCGCCCGCAGGAGGTGCCGCACGAGGGCCCGATGTGCGACCTTCTCTGGACTCCCCCGTCGGCCTTCGTCGCTCGGCCGCGCTCCGGTAGAAGGACAATACAGTCGGGGCGCTGAAGAAGGAACCCTTCTCGTTGGCGAGGGGCTCGGTGTTCCTTGATTGTTTTACAGTTCGCGTGGGGGTTTCCATGGGAAATCGGAGTTTAACTTATGGGAAAAAGGGGCCTCGTTCCTTATTTAGGGTTCCTTAGGTCAACGCCCCGACTGTATTCCCGAACCCGTGCACACTGGAAGGGGATCATGATCATCTACCCCCGCCCCCGAAGTCAGTGTTGATTTTAGTGCGGGTGATGATTTTGGGGGTTCCAATTTCTCTGTTCACGTAAGCCCCCTTACACTGCCGCAGACTCATTACTGATTCGGGGGGTCTGAGGGTGCGTCTTGCGCTGCAGGATTCAACTTTACTATCCATGTGCAGTCCGTGTCTATTTGCTCTGTCAAGAGAGGAGCGAGAAATAGGGAGAGCGAGAGAGAGGAAGAGAGAGAGAGAGAGAGAACGATATGCAAAGAGCGAGAGAGAGAGAGAGTTGTTTGTTTGCTGTGGACCGCTGGCCGTAAAGCTTCCGAAAAAAAATGCTAATCAGGGAGTTCGAAAAATGTGTAAGTTCTAAGGAGAAATATGAGGTTGAGCCGAAAAAGGCGCGATGTGAACCTCAGAGCCGAGGATGAAACCATCCGTGAACCGCTCGCGGTGCAGCAACCCAGGTGCATGGTGAAGGAGATATTTTCTAAGATGAAGACGAAGCGCTTTTGCTGGCGGTCATCATTGCACTCATCTCCACGTCAAGCGTGGCGCAAGATATGCTGCCTTCCATAAGCAGCTGCACCAATTTATCTGCCCGGTGCGCGTATTCACCGAAGACCATCGATATACTCGCAGGCGGCGATGGGTCAGAGGCGCCCGCTGTTACGACAGACATGGTCTTGCACTAGTCGGCAATGTCACCGCCGCCTTAAGGAACACGATCAGCACCTCCAAGCGCCACCGAACCCAGCTCAACAGCTTCATCACTGCCAGTAAGAACCTTCGCAGGTACGCCTGTGGCTCCAGTTACTCCGCCAATAGCTTTCACCTCCAGCGTGTCATTAAAGCTGCAATCATCAGCACCACAACCGACGCCTTCAGGAAGCTCCGGACCACGTCACTGGGCAGCGAGATGTTTCTCCAGGTATTTAGTAGAGCTCCTGTTACGTCTTCTTCTTCTCCTGCAACGCCTGCATTCTCTTGAGGCGCTTGAGCCTCTTCTCCCCCTTCGCCGTCTCCCTCCCGTCGCCCCTTCTGTAGAACCTCTCCCCGTGGCCCTTGTGGAGGAGGCAGAGGACAAGGTGTGCTCGGAATCGCACGCAGAGGGAATCAGTTGTATATATATATATATACATTTATATATATATATATATATATACACAAGGCTGCAGTGGCGCTTCGCGCCATGCACCTTGTTCCTTGAAGCTTTGGAATGGTTGGCCCGTGGTGCCATCCTTTTTTCCATTTTAGCCGCGGTCCGCTGGTTCGTACTTCGGAGAAGCGCAGGCTAAGGATGCACTGAATAACGCAAAGTCAGCGGAGTGACTGGAAATCTGCTGGAATCCTGGGTTGACAACGGAATTTCCAGAAAAATGGTTGCGAACCCGGGAGTGTGGCCTCCTCCTCCTCCTCCTCCTCCTCCTCCTCCTCCTTCCCCTCCTCCACCTCCTCTTCCGCCTCCTCCTCCTCATCCTCTTCCTCCTCCTCGTTCTCCTTCTTTCTATGCCTTCTTCTCCTCCTCCTCCTTCTCCTCCTCCGCGTAAGCCAATGGACAGTTAACGATTTGGAAGCTTTGTGGAGCTTCGCCGGAGCTTCCCAGGGAGCCTCCCGAAGCTCTTTGGAGCTCTCTTGGGGCCTCCTTGGGCCCTTTCGGGGCGGGAGGCTCGTATTTTCAGTTATCTGGTCCTCCCTGGGGCCCTTCCTTGGGCCGTCTCGGAGCGTTCGTGGGCCGTTTTCGACCGTTTTGGGGCGCGTCTTCTTGGGGCTTTTCAGGACGCTCTGGGAGCCCCTTGGGCCGTTGTGGAGCGGTTGTGGGGGCTTCTTGGGCGGTCTTGGAACGTGGGAAACCCGAAAAAGCGAGGACGCTGAAAACATTGAAGAACTAATGGGTAAGTGACTTTTTTGAACGTTTTTGGAGCCTCACCGAAACGTCTTCGGGGGCCTCCCGAGGCCCTTTGGAGCTCTCTTGGGGCTTCCTTGGGCTCTTTCGGGGCGGGAGGCTCGTATTTTCAGATCGTGGTCCCCCCGAGGGTTCCTCTTTGGGCCGTCTTGGAACGCTCGTGGGCCATCTCGGACGCGTCTTGGGCCGTCTTGGGGCTTTCTCAGAGCGCTCTGGGAGCCTCTTGGGCCGTTGTGGGGCGGTTTGGGGAGCTTCTTGGGCAGTCTTGGAGCGTCGGACACTCGAAAAAGCGAGGACGTTGAAAACATTGAAAATCCAATGGGAAAGTAACAGTTTAGGATGTTTTTGGAGCCTCATCGGAGCTACTTAGGGGGCTTTCCGAGACCCTGTGGAGGTCTTTTGGGCCTCCTTGGGCCTTCTCGGGGCGGGAGGCTCGTATTTTCAGTTCGTGGTCCCCCCTGGGGCCCCTTTTGGGCCGTCTTGGAGCGTTCGTGGGCCATCTCGGGCGCGTCTTGAACCGTCTTGGGGCGCTCTCAGCGCGCTCTGGGAGCTTCTTGGGCCATTTGGGAGCTTCTTGGGCGGTCCGGGAGCGTCGGAAACCCGAAAAAGCGAGGACGCTAAAAACATTGAAAAACCAATGGAAATTCAATGATTTTGTTCTTTCGGGCCCCCTTTGAGAACGGTCTTGGGGCTCTCACGGAGGGTCTTCAAGGCTACCCGGGTGCTATCCTGGACTGTCTTGGGTGTCTCTGTGGGCTTGCGCCGACCGATTTGGCACTGCCGCCCGCCTGCGTGCATGCCTTGGAAAGGATTTTCGGCCGCCCCCGTGGCACGGATCCGGGGGGTCCCGTTTCGGGGGGGGGTCCGCACCCCTGGAATTATAAAGATATAGAAAAGGGAATCTATATATAGAGAGAGAGAGAGAGAGAGAGAGAGAGAGAGAGAGCGAGAGAGCGGGGGTGGAGAAAAAGAGAGAGAGAGAGAGAGCAGGGGGAGAGAAAGAGAGAGAGAGAGAGAGACAGAGAGAGAGAGAGAGTCTCCGACTGCGTTCCGTTCTTCTCAAACCTAGCGCCAACTCAGTTCAATGTGGCGAGTGTTGCCAACTCGGGTCCTACAGGTCTGCGAGCACTCCGTGGGACTTGCACGTCCCCAGTGGCTTAAGCCAAACAAGGCAATGGTGAAGCGAGCAGTAGAGAAGCACCAGCAACAGCAACATGTTCGCTCTCGAGGGTGGGAAACAGAGAAAGAGAGAGAGAGAGAGGGAGAAAGAGAGAGAGAGGGAGAGAGGGAGAGAGAGGGAGGGAGGCCCATCGCGATAGCGCGGCCTTGACGAAGCCCTCGGGCACCTGAATCACCGAACCGAGGTCTTCAGCTCCCACGTGCTGGCCAGACGGTGAGGTCGAGTAGGGAAAGTAGGTATGACAGAAAGGGGGATGACAGGCACGGCCAAACCTACAACGATCACACCAAGACGCAGGCACATCCACAGCATCTCCTTGCGCTAGCTGCTCGTATCCAGCGCGCCCACAGGAGATGACCGTACTGGCACCTAGGCTGGAGAGGTCATGAGAAACTGTATCGAATCAGCATTAGAATTGTGGCTGGGCTGTGTCAAGCTCAAGTCTGGACGCATCACGCACCGATCTAGGTCTCCGAGGGGCATTCCTGGCTGCGGGGGCCAGGGCGTGAGGGGCGAGTAATCAATTACCGCCTAACAGAAGCTTGCTACCATCGGGATCGTTGTTCCCACGAGTCCCGTGAGCATGCGCTTTATTATCTAATCGCTTCGCTCATGCCGCCGGCCCTGGAGCCCTCTTCAGGGCCTCTTGGGGACCTCTTGGGAGTCTCTTGGGGCTCCTTGGCGGCGTCTTGGGGGCCCCCAGGGCCTCTTGGGGGGCTCTTGATGGCTTCTTGGGGCGGGAGGGGGGGTTAATGGATTGCGGCTCACCCCTCGGAGACCACGATCTTCGTGAGGGGTGTCGAAAAATGGCCCTCCCCTGGAGTGCTTTGGGGGCTTCTCCGGGGACCTTGCCGGGGTACTTTTCGTCCAGGGGCCCCCAGGGGCCGCTCCGCGCGCGCGAACTAGAAACATTGTTAAACATACGCTTTATTATTGCTTGCTCCTGGTCGTTCACGAACGTGAACGGGAGGGATAATTCATTAGCCATTTCTTAGATGATACTTGCCTCCCGCGTGAATCCAATTCAGAGTCAGATGTGCGTTGATGACTTGGATGACATCCCACTCGTTGACGGGGGTGAAGAGCCACTTCAAACATTCTGCAAGGAAGCCACATAGGAAAGATAGGACTAGCCATTCCTTTGCTTGTGACGCCACGCAGTGGCGCCGTCCAAGCCTGAGAACTCCAACTCTCCATCGGAACCAGCTTCAATGTTTGAGTCGTCTAGAACACTTCAGAGAGCACTGCCATTGACAATCCCCAGAGTAGGAGAGAGACCTTCTTCTGTTTGGATGCCGGGGTCGTCTTCCCAGGGGGGAGCGCGCCAGGATGCACACTGTTGACCCGACCCACAGCGCTGCCTCGAGGATCTCTGCCGCCGCTCCCCACTTCAGGCCGGCAGGCAGCACGCGCTTCGGACCCGCGATCGACTGGAGCCAGCCGGCCTCGGGGCGCTTCGTGATCCTCTTCGCGTCGGGGGGCGGCGCCACGGGTGTCGGGCTCGCCTCACGGCCCCCTTCTGGACCCGCATTCTTGGTCGAGTCTTCCTCGTCAACTTGTCGCCAAGCGACGACTCCATCGCCTGGGCGAAGTACTCGCCCTGCTTGCGGAGCATCGTCTCCGCCGCCCCGTCCTCCTCGTCCGTGGCAAGCGCCTTGTGCTCGGG